GAGAAGATACTAAAATGACTACAAAAAGCAATAAACACTGAAGTATTTTATTCACAGATATTCTCAATTATTGACTAACACAAAGGAACCCAGAGCATACCTGCAATTGAGAGCACTGGGGAATTTTCCTTCGAGGTGGAGATGCGGCAAAGGTAGTCTGCTTCCTGACTGATTCTAGTCGTTTCTGCAGAGGGGTGGCACCTATAAAGTAATTTTCAGGCCTTGAGGCACTTTGTTTAATAGTTGATTCTGGTATATCGTAAGAATCCATGGTCTACATGAAAATAAATAAAACCAAAATTTTAATCATTAAAAAGTTAACTCATGTTCACAGTCTCACTGATTCATCTCCTCACTATAGAGGAATTCTTTCTTTCTTTCCCTCCCTACCCCAGTTTGACTTTTCAACCAAGTCTCCTATTTCTCGTAGGCTACAGCCTACTTTTAGATACCTCAAACACAGTTGAAAACTAAATTCAACTCTTTCTTTCCCCTCCTCTTTCTGAAAGCTCACTAGTCCATCTTCAAATGCCTGCCAATTTTCTAAGTTAACTTAAACTTATTTAAGTAGTTTCCTACCTTCATTCTCTAACATGTAATCATTGAGCACATTCTATTGAGTTTTTCCTTCAAGAGTCTCTGTCATATATTCACAAAGCTATTTCCTTGGCCATGTTTTTATTACCATAACTAAGGATGCTCCACATCTATGAGTAATTCATTCTTCCACAAATAGCACTGTATTTTTAGTTACCTATGGAAAACCTTTACAATGACAAGATAAATCCTCAGGTTTCTTGCTAGGACACCCTTTATATCTTGCACAAAACTCCATAAATGAAATATAGTCTTTAAAGTTCAGACAATACCCAGAGCAAGATCATACGCCACACAATTTAAATAACAGCTACTCTAAACCATCCTAGTTTTAAATGCATATTGAATTATCAGAATGTTTCTTCAAATCTGTTATTTGGGACACTTTGCTAATACGTATTTGGCATTTCTCATGTTACAGGTACTCTTCAAAACTCTCAGCAAATACTATCTCATTTAATCTTCAAACAACCCAGTGAGGAAGGTTACTATGTTTCCAGTTGACAGAAGTTAAGTAACTTGCCAAAGTCACAAAGAGAATAGAAGTGCCAGGATTTGGCTCGGCGCTGTAGCTTAAGCAGCTTAGGAGCCAGCCACATACACCAAAGTTGGTGCGTTCGAATCCAACCCGGGCCTGCCAAACAATGATAACTACAACCAAAAAATAGCCAGGCATTGTGGAGGGCGCCTGTAGTCCCAGCTATTTGGGAGGCTGAGGCAAGAGAATCACTTAAGCCCAGGAGTCAGAGGTTGCTATGAGCTGTGATGCTATAGCACTCTACCCAGCGTGACAGCTTGAGGCTCTGTCACAAAAAAAAAAAAAAAAGAAGAGCCAGGATTTGAACCCATACAGTGTAACTTTAGAGTGCATGAATAAGCCCCTAAGTTGACTCTTTAAAAGAAAAATGTTATGAATTCCAAAAAGATTTTAAAGTCTGGTTAAGCAATTAATCTAAGTGAGAAAAAAACTGTTAGCACTAAGAGGGTAGGTTCTGAGAAAACATTTCCTTTGAGTATTTAATGGTAAGGTAATGTGAAATAGCCCTATCCATGGGTTAAAGATTAGCAAATGGGGCGGCACCTGTGGCTCAAAGGAGTAGAGTGCCGGCCCCATATGCCGGAGGTGGCGGGTTCAAACCCAGCCCCAGCCAAAAACTGCAAAAAAAAAAAAAAAAAAAAAGATTAGCAAATGATTTATATCTATTTTACCTTCTCACTCCATACTCAAGAATGTGTAATTGTGCCTAGCTATAAATAGGTTATAAATATGTCTTGACACAATATATTACTGTCCCAGCCAGGCACAGTGGTTTATGACTATCATCATAGCACTTTGGGAGGTGAGCAACATAACAAACCCCATCTGTACAAAAAGAAAACTATGAAAAAGTGTGTGTGTGTATATATATGCATACATATATAACTGTCCCAATATTCTTCCTTCTAATTATAAGGAAAGAAGTCCTCTCTCTTTCTAAAGAGGACTGTGTACCAATATTCTGGATCCCCAAATCTCTTCACATCTCCTTTGGACACCATCTCCGATGTTTATTTCAGCCCTCTATCATCTCTAATCTCTGCTCCACAGAATCCTTCCCTTCCATTCCAAGCATATTATAATATTCCTAACACTAAAATTTTTTTGTTCTAATTCATTACTTCATTCATTTTGCAATCAGTCTCCTAGAAATGTGGTCTACACCTACTGCCTTCACCTACTAATAAATATTTTATTAGAAATCTTCAGCAAATCTTCCGCTTCTGTCATTATAAAGAAACCGTACTTTTGGAGATCATGTTTTTGCCAAACCATAGCCAAATACTTTGTTCATCAAGTTTGTTCATCTTTACACCTCCAAACTTTCTCCTACATTGCTTCTCTAACACTGAGTTTTATTTGGGGTTTTTTGCTTGTTTTTTTGGTGGGGAGGGGAGGTGTTTTGTTTTTTGAGACAGAGTCTTGCTCTGTCACTCAGGCCAGAGTGCAGTGGTGCAATAATACTTCACTGCAGCCTTGAACTCCTGGGCTCAAGTGATCCTCCCACGTCAGCCTACCAAAGTGATAGGATTACAACCGTGAGCCACCACCATGGAATGACGCTCAGTTTTTAGGGAGTTTTCCCTCCCTTTTAATTCTGATTAATTTGCTGAATTTTTTTCTTCACATCCCAGAAGTGGGTATCCCCCAGATTCCAAAATTATTTGTTCTACTTGTGAAAACATTCATTCTACATAACTCCTAAACCTCTATCTTCAGATGATTACATCTGCATCCCAGTCCTGCATTTCCAGTTTCCTATAGGACATGAGCTTTCGGGTCCTTCATTAAGTTCAAAACTAACCATTTTCATGACACTCAATCTTTCTTTTCCAACTACTTTACCCTATTTCCACTCACTAATAATTCCATTCTTCTCCTTCTTCCTCCATTATTAAAAATACCTTAGTCATCTTTTACTCTTCCTTCAACTTCGTCTTTACATCTAAAAGGTTAACTTACCATCAAATCCTGACGTAGTTCTTTAAAAAAAACAGCCCTCTTTGATTTGGCCTTCACTTTCTTTCTCAATTATAACCACTTATCTTGTTCTCAGTCTTAGCCCCTTTCCCCAATCCATTAGTCTTTCCATAGACAACACTTTTTTTTTTTCTCGAGATGGAGTCTCTCTATGTTGCCCTTGGTAGAGTGCGGTGCTGTCACAGCTCAAAGCAACCTCCAACTCTTGGGCTTAAGCAATTCTCTTGCCTCAGCCTCCCAAGTAGCTGGGACTATAGGCACCTGCCACTATGCCTGGCTATTTTTGTTGTTGTCGTTGCAGTTGTCATCGTTTAGCTGGCCAGGGCCGGGTTCCAACCCACCAGCCTCAGTGTATGTGGCTGGGGCCGTGGGCCCGCGCCCATAGACACCACTTTTATCTTATTACCTTACTTGAAATCCCGTAACAATTCCCACACATCTTCTAAACGAAGTCAAGTAAGAACTCTTTCATCTTGCTTTCAAGGTGATACTGGAAAAGTGGCACCCCAGCCAGCTCAGCCAAGCAGGGCCTGGGGGACCTGCCACTTCTGTCTTGGTGGCAGCAGCCGCAAAAAACCCGTCAGGTTGGGGCAAGCGAGGGAGCTTTCTTTCCCCAGAGGCTCCAGTAGAGTGGGGCTGAAGGACCTGTCAATCAAGGGAAAACTGGTGCCCATCCCTGATTGGTCCATTTTCATTCCTGCTCCTGATTGGTCCATTTTATAGGCCAATCACAGCTAAGCTATTACACCTATATAAGACCCTGAGCAGAGAGCCTGGGAGCAGATCTTCGCAGACCTTCCAGGAAGACAGAGCAGAAGAATAAGACTTCAGCAGACCATCGCAGACCGTCCAGAAGAAGAAGCGAAAGCTGTGGCACTTCTAGTGCTGATCCTGCTCTACAAAGAGGCTTGGCTCTTTGTAGGAGTTGTAACACTTGAGCTGTAGCTATAACACCTCAGCTGCTGATCCTGCCTTATAAAGAGGCTTGGCCCTTTGCTGATCTCTGCCCTGCAAAGAGGCTTGGTCCTTTGTAAGAGCTGTAGCTGTAATACTTTCGCTGCTGATCCTGCCCTGCAAAGAGGCTTGGTCCTTTGTAAGAGTTGTTTTCATAAGAGTTGTAACACTTGTATTCTGCCCTGCAAGGAGGTTTGGTTCTTTGAGCTATAAATAAAACTTCACTGTTCATTCTATGGTCCGTTGACTCATTCATCAAATCATCGAGACCAAGAGCCTGGAAATCCAGTGTTAAAAATCTGGTATCAAAGGCACTACCTTATCTGTTCTTAGTATCTATTTCTACCCAGGTTCATTTTCAACAATTTCAGGGGTTCTTAATCCCAAGATCCATGGACAAACGACTTTCCAAAATCCAGCATTTTGCATACAGTCCCTCTAAGAAAGACTGTATGCAAAACGTTGTATTCTAGTATCTGTATATTTGTGAGGGAGGAGTGAAGAAAGGTCCCATAGACAATGCTTTAAAAGGTTAAAAACCACTGCCCTATTCCCAAACATGCAACACCTACTCTAGACTGATCACTGCTGCTCTTCCTGCCTGCCACATTTGCTTCTGCAAACATGACTTTTTATTCACATTAACACCAGTTGAAAATACTTCTCTACTCCCATTTGTCTGAGCCTCCGCTGGTGGAGCACAGAGCTAGTTCCCTCTCCTCTTCCACTTTAAGTTCATAGCACACAAATAAAACTTAGAAGTTTTTCTTGTGATTAGTCTATGAAGAAAGGGACCCTGATTTACTCACTTTTCTACACTGCCCTCAGTATCTAAATCCCACCGTCCCAATGCCAAAGCTTAACCTAGTGCTGAGCACGCAGTCGTCACACACCAAAACACACGCAACAGGACAAAAGGCACAGTTTATAGCCAGCCCTGGACCAATACAAAGCATCTTACCTAATAAAATGCTGTGACGACGCTGTCACCCATTCCGGATTCACCAACCATTCTTCAAGTCTGGCTCCAAAACTATGTTTAGGAGACTGAAATTTCCTAAACGGGGAAAAAAAAAACCGCCAAAATGACAGCTCAGAGAGAGGCCGGAGCAACCCGTGGCCCTCCCAAATTCCCTCTCGCTCCACAAGTGGGTTCACCAGGGACACAAATACGCCCAGAGGGAAAACCCCGCACCTCCGGCCGCACGGCTGGCCCAGCGACTTCAACCTGGGACTTGACCGCTCCACTAGCCACTAAGCTCTGCAAACCTCGCTCCTGCGGAGTCGGCTTCTGCCCGCGGAGGGGGAAAGGCAAAAGGACAGTGCTTCCCAACTCGTCCCTCTTCAGCTGAGCCCAGCAGGGATTAAATACCAGTCAGAATCCACGCCGCTGAGAAACTACAGTTCAACTTCTCTACCGCCTCTTCAGTTTAAAATCGTTTCCCGACTCGCCCTGCGGCCCGACGCAGGAAGGGAAGCCTCCCAAGGGCCCCGCCGATTCCGTGTCAGTGAAAAACATTAAGTCGCCATTTTAACTGAGGGCAAGACCGACCGACTTAACCAATAGCGTCAACATTACTACTAGCGTTGGCGTCGCCCCTCGGGCTTTCTATCGGCGCGGAGCGTCCCCTCAAACTTCCGCCCGCAGCAAGCATGGCGGCGCTGCCTCCGCTGTGATTCGTCCAAAGATTTCAATGTAATCTTGGGCGCCAGCGGGGCGGGCGGAGGGACGCTTGGGTTCCAGCGCAGATTGTGTGTGGCTTCTGGTCCTAGGAGCGTTGGGGTTTGCTTGCCTTCCTGTTCTGAAGACCTGAGGTCGGCCGCTAGGTCTGGGAGATTAGCAACGCGAGGCTGTTCCTCCTGGTTTTCTAATTCTACCCGCGGGAGCCTTCAGGGAAACGCGGAAAGACGAGAAGGGTGTATGCCCGGTGACCGGCCCCTTCCGCGTCTGGATTGTCTTGGGTTCGTGCCTGGAGCTACTACTATGTGGAATCGTTTCCTAGTCGTCACTTCTGGCATGCCTTGAGAGGGGTGAAAGGCCTTTCCCTTACCCACTCCCTTCAGGGCCCCAAAGACGTGCAGATTTGTCTAATTTCTAGACACGTGTTTTGAAATGTTGTGTGGATGGGAGCTTAAGTGTTGAAGAACAAAGTGGGAACTCCTAAAATTTTAAGGGATTCCAAAACTGACTTTTGACTACCAGGCGCGTGGGATTCGTGATTGTCCTTCGTTATCCTGTGGCTCCAACATGAACTTACCTTCATGCTTAAGTCAGCTCTGCAGGGCTTTACCCAGACGCATTGGAAGTACCACTCAGTTGATCTTGCGTTCTCTCTCCAGAAGTCTGGTGCTAAGTTCACAGAGGAGAATTCCAGGTGAAAACAGCGAAGAGATCTGTCCTCTTATTTCCATCTTGTTCCATAGAGCTATTTAACACACACACCCCATTCTTAACTGGATATCCTTATATATAGAAGCAGATCAGATGAGATCGGGCACGTTCAGGCTGGTATGGCTGTAGCCCCATAGCCCAGTGGTTACGGCGCCAGCCACATACAACAAAGTTGGAGGGTTCGAACCTGGCCTGGTCCAGCTAAACAACAATGACAACTGCAACAAAAAATAGGCGGGCATTGTGGCAGGCGTCTGTAGTCCCAGCTACTTGGGAGGCTGAGGCAAGAGACTTGCTTAAGCCCAAGAGTTGGAGGTTGCTGTGAGCTGTGACGCTACAGCACTCTACTGAGACTCTGTCTCAAAAAAAAAAAAAGGCAGATCATTCATTCTCGTCCTTCCTTATAATGCATTTTTTCCCTGAGATTTAAAGAAGGCCACAAAAATGTAACCGCATATGATATTCTTTTAGTGGATGCTACTAATAGGAAGCCTACAAAAACAATTTTTAACACTTACAGTATTGTTTTCTAGTGTACAAGATTCATTCTAAAGCTAAGTAGCTACTTAATCATCAAAACTCTGTAATTTCTAAAAATCATATTTTATTTGGAGAAGAAGCGCTGTTAAGAATTGGGTTATTAGGATTTTAGGTCAATGCAAATGCTAATGTTCAAAAAAAGTACATTCAGTTATTCACTTGGCTTATGACATATTTGCAGATAAATCAACAGTTTTGAATTTAACAGTATGAGTTAAATTGCATACTCTGATTTGTTTTATAAATATTACCCATTGCCCTGAAATAGATACTAAGATACTGTAATTTGAGAATCTTTATTTTTAAGCCATGTACAAATGTTATATTTTTAATCTTGCATTGTAAACACTTTCTTCTTTCCCTTTCCCCCCCCACAAGAATTTAGTAGCTTTGTTGCCCGAACGAACACATGTGGAGAATTGCGTTCTTCTCACTTAGGCCAAGAAGTCACCTTGTGTGGATGGATTCAGTACCGAAGGTAAATTGAGGTAGACAATCTAAGAATTCATGATAGTTGTTTTCCCAAGGCAATTCTAAACCTGTAGTAATTTTCAACCATTCATAAGAATGAAACATTTTGCAACTCCTACAGGATTCTCAGAATTCACTAGATTTTCTATTTTGTTTTTATTTTGAAAGACCCAAATGACAGAGAGTTGTCACTCTCAGTAGATACCAATAACATCTGTTGAAGTTTATAATAATGAAGCTTGATCCACCAATGGATTGGAATGACCCTGGGCTTACTAAGGTTAAAGAGTTCCCTGTGACCACTAATTGGGAATGAACCAGCATCCTATAAACCAGCTTCAATAGCATGGGAGAAAAAAAGTCTATTCTAAATTTAGGTAGAGAAAAGACCTAAAAACATGAATAGTGATTCCTTAGGACCAAAGCCGATTTTTTTGTTGTTGCTCATCTCTGTATTCCAGAACATGTCTGAATAGTACATTAATTAACATGGAAAATACACAAAATACATATGATATGTAACCTTCCTAAAGAATATCCAAGTGGGTGGATAATTGCCCTGTAAAGTCGCTGACTTTGTCTCCTAAATCCAAAGCTGAAGAGGATTTCTGTACCTCTTCTTTACTAAGAACGATATGAAAAATGTAGGTAGAATATCAGAATTTTGGGATTTCTGGGACAGAGATCAAATGTCATGGTTCATAGAGGTGTTAAATTAGTCATAAGAACTCTTCTGGAAATTTTTAGATTGTATCTCTTTTTAGGAAGGGAAAATACCTTCTATTGCTGTATTTCAAAAATGACTGATCAGATGTTTCTGATATCTAAAAACCTTATGTTTGGATTTTACCATGTGAAAACTTTACAAATTTAATAAACATTTTTTATAAAGACTTAAACCAATGTTTCTGATATCTAAAAACCTTATGTTTGGATTTTGCCATGTGAAAACTTTCCAAATTTAATAAACATTTTTTATAAAGACTTAAACCAAACCTTGGGCATGGTGGCCCAAGCCTGTAATCCTACCTAATAGAAAGCTGAGGAGGGAAGATCACTTGAACTTGAACTCAGGAGTTCAAGCCAGGGCTGGACAACAAAGTGAGACCCATCTCTAAGAAATAACAATAAGGATAATAAAAGACTTAAGCCAATGAAAATTTTTTTTAATTTTAAAAATCTTTTTTCTTTTTTTTTTCTTTCTTTTTTTTTTTTTTGAGACAGAGCCTCAGGCTGTCCCCCTGGGTAGAGTGCCGTGGCATTACAGCTCACAGCAACCTCCAACTCCCGGGCTCAAGAGAGTCTCCTGCTTCCGCCTCCCAAGTAGCTGGGACTACAGGCGCCCGCCACAACGCCCGGCTATTTTTTGGTTGCAGCCGTCATTGTTGTTTGGCGGGTCCGGGCTGGGGATTCAAACCCGCCACCTTAGGTGTACGTGGCTGGTGCCTTAGCCGGTTGAGCTATAGGTGCCGAGCCAAAAATCTTTTTTCTTTATAAACCATCTGTATATGCTTAGTAAGCTATATAAGTAGTCAGTAAAAATTCCAATAAACTTTTTTCATTAGTAAACTATATGGATAACAATTACATAAATATAGCTAATGAAAATACATAATTATGAGTAAGAAAGGCGAGATTGCATAGGTTCTTTTTTTGTTATTTATTTTGCCTGCTCAAATTTTGGGATCAGAGATTTGACCTAAAAATGTTCCTTTTTTTTTCCATTAATCAGGCAAAACATCTTCCTGGTCCTAAGAGATTTCCATGGGCTTGTTCAAGTTCTCATTCCCCAGGATGAGGTAATAGAAAGTCTTCTAATGTTACTAAAATCCTCTTCTATGCTGGGGCTAGGGTAGGCTAATTAATGTCATGAATATTTTGGAGGGTTTAAATTCAGACTTTTTTAATGAAAACTGAAAATTACCATAAGCAATGTTAAAACATGAAAAACTGGGAAAAAATATGAGCAACTTGCACATGTATCACAGACAAAAGTCTAATTTCCATAATATCTAAAAGCCTACAACAAATCAATTAAAAAAGACTAGTGACCCAGCAGAATTATAAACCCTGGATATGAACATAAATTTATAGAAAACAAAATATAAATAGCTTGTAGACAAAATGAAAGTATACCCAACATCACTCATAGGCAGAGAAATGTAAATTAAAACTACACATAATCGTCAGTTTTAGCACATTAGATTGACAACGTGCTATTTGGGAAAGCAGATGCTCATACATTCCTGGAGGGGGTACAAACTGGAGCGAGCTGTATGGAGAGTAACATGGTAATATCCAATTAATATATGCTAGAATGTTGAACAGATACTTTATAAAATTTTTTTGTTATATATATCCATTGAACCATTAATTCCACTTCTAGTAAATTATCTTACAATTACTTCCAGACTTACAAAGATATAAAATGACATTTATACAAAGATATTAATTTTAGGATTATTTTTAATCGAGAAAAAATTAGGAACAAGCTCTATCTCCTCCAATAAGAGACTAGTTTAAAAAGTAATGTACATCCTTACATTGGGATGCTCTGCTCACCCTATAAAAAAAGGGGGAAGATGTCCAGGTGTGGTGGCTCATACCTGTAATCCTAGCACTCTGAGAGGCTGCAGCCTATGGATTTCCTGAGCTCAGGAATTGGAGACCAACCAGAGCAAAAAGGAGACCCTGTCTCTAAAAATAGCCAGGCATTGTGGGGGGCACCTGTAGTCCCAGCTACTCAGGAGGCTGAGGCACAAGCATCGCTTGAGCCCAAGAGTTTGAGGTTGCTCTGAGCTGTGATGCCATAGCTCTCTACCCAGGACAACAAAGTAAGACTCTGTCTAAAAAAGAATAAAGAAGCTCTGTGTATAAAAAAGGAAAAAATCTCAGGCATATTGTTAAATAAAAAATTATATATTCTAGGCTGGGCACAAGTGGCTAATGCCTATCATCTCAGCACTGTGGGAGGCTGAGGCAGGAAAATCCCTTGAGCTCAGTAGTTTGAGACCAGGCTGAGCAAGAGTGAAACCCCATCTCTACTAAAAATAGAAAAGCTAGCCAAGCATTGTGCATACGTATAACACCAGCTACTTAGGAGACTAAGGCAAGAGGATTACTTGAGCCCAAGAGTTTGAGGTTGCTATGAGCTATGATGATGTCATGGCACTCTACCCAGAGCAACAGAATGAGACTCTGTCTAAAAAAAAGAAAAACTATATTCTCGAATATGTAGAAGAACGTGTAGAGTGCTATTATCTCTATTAAAAAAAGGGGGGGGATATCTCTGAAAAGATATCTAGTAATGTTGAAAGCTTCTGAGAAGGGAAACTGAGGGGTTTGAGGACAAGGATAGGAGGAAAACTTTTAACTATATCATTTTGTACTTTTTGAATTTGAGCCATGTGAAGGTACTACTTTGTCAAAGAATTAGATTTAAGCCTGTGTGGTGGCTTATACCTATAATCCCAGCACTTTGAAAAGCTGAGGTGGGAGGATTGCTTGAGGCCAATAGTTTAAGACCAGCTTGGGCAACATAGCAAGATCATACCTTTACAAAAAATTTAAAAATTAGTCATGTATGGTGATACATGCCTATAATCCCAGCTACTCAGGAAGTTGTGGCAGAAGGATCACTTGAACCCAGGATTTTAAGTTGCCATGAGCATCCTGGATGACAGAGCAAGACCCTGTCTCTAATATTAAAATTAGATAAAAATAAAGAACTATCATTCTCACTGGGCAATGTTGGTTTCTATTGTAATTTTGACAAATGCTTATACGCCTAAGAAAAATATGATTTACGTGATTAGCTCTTACGTATTTGAAATAAAGAAAGAACAATGAACTATCTTTCAGGCGTCAGGATCCAGAGATGAGCATAGCTAACCCTGGAGAACTCCTTTCACTGAGGACCCTTTTTTTTTTTAAGAGACAGAGTCTTGGCTTGGCGCCTATAGCTCAACCGGC